CACAAGAAGCCCCAGTTCCTTCATCACATTCTACTCCAGGCTGCCAGGAATCCCTTACCATCCCCCCATCACCCTTACATCTACCCCTAACTGCTATGATCAAAGATCAGCCCAAAGGCCAACCCCTCCTGGAAACAAATCCCAATTTTACAGTGTTTTATCCATCCTATAAATTCCCAGGTAAGGCTAGTTTTGCATCTTTTGTGTTACTGATCATTTCTACCTTATATATTAACGTGTGTGTGTGTGTGTGTGTGTGTGTGTGTGTGTGTGTGTGTGTGTCTTACCTTTCCCCCATTTCTGGCAGTTCCACAAGGATAGGGAATGTATTTTATCTTTCTTCATTCCTTACTCCTCACTCCCAGAGTACCAGGCCTGCACAGGGCAGACACTAAATGTCTATGGACAGGTCATTCCCATACCACAATTATAGCATGTACTGGGCCTCTTTCCACAGGTAATTGGAGAGGGGGCTAAAAGAAGAACAGTATTTTATTATTTAAAATAGGGAGATTGCTGGGAGGCCCAGAGTTGGGGTGGCAGGGGGTGACTCTTTTCTCTTGCCCCTGACTCTTTTCTGTTGCCCGTTCTTACTCTCCACCAGGCAAACTCTGTCTCACTGCATACACAGAACACAGGTCCTCCCTATCAACCCCATCAATGCGGTCCTTTTCAAACTGTTTGATTTGTTACCTTTTCTGTGAAGTCCTCCATGGAAACAGAAGTGCAACAAACCTCTCTCTCCTCTCCCTCTTCTTAGCTATTCATAAGTGCCACAAAGGAGGTGCAGAGGTTACAAAGCTATCAACGTGATCATATTTCCTTACCAAAAACTTATATTGCTGCTGCTGCTACTACTACTACTACAACTATTACTACTACTACTACTACTACTACTAATGATAATAATACATCTACACATTACAAATAAAATAAGAATTAGCATCAATGGAAGGTTTACTTGGTATCAGTAGCATATGCCTGGCTGTATACCTAGATTAGCCCATTCAGTTCATGTAACAACTCTGATTATTACCATCCCATTTCACAGAGGAGGCAAACTGAGGTTCAGAAAACATAATAACTTGATAAGAATGAGAATTCAAACCCAGGTAGTCCCGCTCCAAAACATGCACTGATATCTATGGCCTCATAGATCCTTAACCACCATCTCCTACACAACTGGACAAGTACTATTAAAAGGAAAGGAGACAGAACAATTGGAAACCAATCCTTCTCCCAAAGCTGGAACAAACAACCACAGAAATATCTTAGTTTCTACATATAAGCAATAGTCATGAATGATACCTTAATTTGTTCTGTGTAGATGCCATAAATGATGTCATACGTGCAAGTATAAATAGATGACAGTGATTAAATTCCTTTCGCTTTCAGGAATTTTTGGTACATACATCAACTTCATTCGTTTACTCATTTGGTAGTTAAACAATAAAAAAGAGATCAGGATAATTAAAGAACAAAGTGATGCCTCTAAAATAAGGTAAGATCAAAAAGTTGTTGGGATACTGAGGAAGAAATGATGATGATAATGACGGTGATATTTAAGAATATAATATGAAAATACTCATATGCGTATATCTTATCATTGAAGGGATTTACTAATTTTCTCCTTATTTAACAAACAGTCTTGAGTGGGCAGAATTCATCAGGATATATATGAGATGTAAGAACATGATACACACAGAGAGAGAGAGAGAGATGAGCACAAAGACAATTACACAATGTGTCAAATACAATAAGTAAATATGAGGTGCCTTGACAGACCTGATATTATAAGGCTCCTTTCTATTAGAAATCAACCTATCTTAATAACAATACAAATAAAGCTGTAAAGGGTCTTTTCTAAAATTCAGCCTCAATAACCCAAGATTTCAACTTTCAAAACTACAATGACATAAAAACAGAGTCTAACCAGCCAACAACTGTCTCCAAGCATGTGGCTACTCTATGATTTTATTATGCAACAAAATATTTACATAAGGAGGAGAAAGAAATGGATGCATGAGTGGGAGGAGTCAGCAGTATGAAAACAGAGGGGGTCTACGCCAGAGCCAGGTCACAAGGCCAGGAGGCCAAATTTGGTCTGGGACTATGCAACTGTGTGAGCTTGACCAAATCATTTAGACTAAACCACCCTGTCAAGCACAGCTTGGTGAGATCATATAATAAACTATCTAGCACCAGCCTGGCACAAATCAGATGCTCAATAAACGTTAATTCTCCTTTCTACTTGCAGGTGACAACTGAAAACCTTTGGGTTTGGGACAGGACCATTCATGAAGAGATGAAGAGCTGGAGGAGAAAAGGAATAAGCACAGAGGAGGGGATCAAAGATGAAAAGAGACACAGAGATCCCTACTTGACAACTGTGCCTAAAGATCAATTCCATTTCTGTCCACAAATTGAATCTGAAAATGCCCCAGATTTCTCTCTCCCTTTGTCTACAATAATAAGAGGATACAAGAGCCATCACTCTCCCAGATCAAATAAAATGTGTGAATTTTCAGGAGAAAAGAGAAATTGTTTACCTCCAACAGTTGAAAAAAAAAGTTCAATTTGAGTTTGCTCAAATGTCC